AAAAATACAGTCAAATTCTCAATGAAAATACCTCACTTTACTTCCACGTACAGTGCATCGCTTGTTGTCTGACCGCTTACTATGTTGAAAAGAAGCCATTTTAGCGAGTTATCCATTTCTAGATTTACTGCATAAGAGAAGCCGCTCACCGCTCCTGTCCGGTTTTTCTTTTACCGGGTCCCGTAGGTGTGGTGCCTCTTACTAGTTTTGTTTCACATTTTCGAACGTGTTTTTCCGAAATAGGTATTTCGCATGTCGATCGTTTCCGGGGTCACTTCTTTCGACGTGGAGCGGCCTCTTCGACTTTTAGTCGCGGCGTGCCCGGCGATCTTATACAATTATACGGTAACTGGTTCAGTGATTCTAAAAAAGCTTTATTCAAAGTTTAGCCTAGAATCTTAGCTCGCTATAGGATCTCTTGCCGCCTTCTGTTAAGAATGCCCAGAGTTTCATCCCCTCCCCCTCTGTCCAAGGATTCCATGCACAAGTGAGGCAGAGCGTGCAAGATCAAGGATCAGCCTGCATAGTCATCAAAGGACGTGTTAACAGGGGCGATCGATCCACTGATCCTTGGACCCGATGAACTTACGATCAGACCTTCCTCGAGGAAGGGGCCTTTTCCGGTCACAGCCGCCTACTTCACCACCAGCAGTCGCTTACGGAAAACATAGTGAGTCAGTGTGTTCATGACGAAATCTGAACCTATGAAGACATTGGTCGGGTGTAAAAAGGTAAAAAAATAGCTCACTACGAAACGAATCAAATGTTTTCTGTTCACACTACAATGATTACCAGCAAGAAATGCATCTTGGGCTTGCGCACAATAAACCCGAAGCCACTTACGTCAAATTTCACGAAAATGTCTGTTCTCAGAAAATTTTTTCACCACTGAAGAACGCTTGGTCAGCATTTATCAAATTTATCAACTTTGAGGAGTGTTTTAAAAAAGTCTACATTTCAGGTAGACAATTCATACATGGAAAGTAAATCCAACCATTGGAAGGAATAAAAATGCATTTTCAAATTCAACCAGCATTGTCTCAGTAAGATAAAGCTTGATTCCACAGAAATAAAACTTGTCAGAAATTAATTTTTTAAACAGGCAATAAGGTTTATTGGCACTTGGAAAATTGTTTTTTCAAGAAGCAAGTTTTACATGTACTCAAGATGCAACCATCTGCATGTAATTCTCGTGAATGCTTTTCTCCCATTTTGCATTTGCCCTTGGACAGTTCATCAAATCCTTGAGGACTGATTCTGGAGTAGTGTTAATAGAATTGAAAATGGCTTCAATAATCCATTCATACAGCCATTCTTTGTGTGGATCAGAACTTCTGTTGAGCCCATAGACACCTAGAGTCTCAAAACCTTTCAAGCTGACAAGAAAATCAGCATATTCTAAAACAGTTTCTTTCGGCAAAGACTGGTCACAGAGAGGAATCATTGTCATAACTTTAAAACCAGCTTTGTAGATGGAATCAAGTAAAACCTTGGAACCATCTGCCTTAACCATATGTTCCAGCTTGAATATTCCAGCCTGTAACATTAGAGAAATAATTACGACAGTTGGTTTTCAATAAACTTTCCATTTCTCCATTTTTGGTTCTTACAGGTAATAGAGTAATTATTCATAAGCGATACCTGTGAGACAGTCACATGTCCTCTACTACTCGGGGATGGCAACCCTTTGGGAAACGAACAGTTGAATGCCTCCAGTGATGCCCAGAAATTCTTTGAAATAAATCTATAAGGACTTAAATCTCCATTTAGCGCTAGTTTCTCAGAGAAGATTACTTTACTAACGCCACGAGCGTAAAACTCTTCAGCTGCTGCAATCCAAGATTGCTGAAACAAATCTACCGGAATATCACCGGCAGTCTTGAAAAACACGAACTGTACGATTTCGTCTTTCGGTTCATTTGTAACAGACATATCAAACAACCACCGGTTATGGTTAACAAGCGAAGGGATTTTACAGCTATTTCTGGATTGTCTACGTTTGTAACTGCAGTTCTAATTGGACATCTATAATTGAAGCATTACGGCTCTACAAAATACGCAAGTATCTGAAATCATACAGTTTGACCATTCCTATATTAAGATACCTTGCATTACAAATCATATTTGAAGCTCTTTCTTTCCTATGGGCAGAATGCATACGATAGCCTAACCCTAAAACGTAGAAAAAAAAATTACAAAGAAATATTGTATATCTTTGAGTCTACACTCGGCTATCTCCTCTCCCCAATCCCCTATGAGCACCAAAGGGGACTCACCCAAACGAAAAGAGTGGTACTAGGACCAACAATAGAAAATCAAAATGGCGGACGGTAACACGAGTTTGAAACGAAAGCATTCTAAAGCATTTTATGTCGGAAATAAGAAGAAGGTTTGTCATATATTTTTTTTTCTAAGCTTGTACATTTTCAGTTTCTTTCTTATGCTGTAAACTGATTTCTCAGCATATTTTTCTAGAAAAGAGGACAAGAGCTGCTTGCTCCAGGAATGAAGGGTGTTCTTGTCACGTGTAACGAAAGGGAGAATTTGTGTGTACGAGAAGCTTACAACGTCCTTAATGAAGTGAGAACTTAATGTTCAGCCGATAAAGCTGCAATAAGCCAGCACTATCGATAAAAAGCTATTTGATTGCTAAAATATATGACTGAGCCTTTATAATTGCGATATGCGTGCTTGGTTGCCAAGCCTTTGCACAGAAACGTTGTTACTTTTCAAATGTAAATTACTTTTCTATCATGCTTACTAGATACTGGTCTCTATCATAACAAAGTCAGCTTCAGCCTCATGCTAAATCAAAGGCTTGGCAATAAAGTACTCAACTGTAAAATGACCTATTATTGAGGACTGCAGACAGCCTACTAACCCCCCCTCCCACCCCTCCCCCAATGGAGGAGAGCTTGTAAAAAGAACTTGTTGGTGCCAGTCTGCTACTGACAATCGAGGATTTACGAACAATTTGATCAAAGCTATGTTTCAAGTCTTCATATGGGGCTGACTTTTCAAAAAAGACATTTTTGCCATGGTCCAGCGTCAGAGCTTGATATTGAATTTTCTTAGCTTCCCATGTTCTTTCTCAGAGGTTATAGTCTTCCTTTTCAACAAGGACTGTTTCCTCCCATGTCTTATTTATTTTCACTTTTTATGAACTTTTTTATGTGCAAGATCTGACAGAAAGATCTACCTACCAATGACCATAATTTTTTTTTCATTATTTTTGGTGCCTGTAGCTGTTATTTGGAGAAAATTTCTCTGTAACCAAGATGATGATTTTTTTCTTTCTCACTTTACTATTTACCAATCACTCGTTAACCCCTAACTCCCATAAGTGGCCAACACAGAATTTCTCCTTACAATGTCAATACAATATCAACCATATAAGTTATGAGAATAAAGAAAAATATCAACTTGGGGATAATTACTTGATCCAATACTTTATTCTCCAAACTAGCATTATAAGAATTGTATGGTTGACAGTAAGGAGAATGAAACATTTGATCTGGGAGTTAAAGGGTTAAACATTTAATCCATATTAATTACTTTGAACCTATATTCAACTTATAGTTCATCATGGTGGACTGATTTATTGTTTTGTGTTTCTCTGGGGTTTAGTATGCAGACAAGCTCTATGGTCCTGAACGCAGCTTGCAAGACAATGACTCTGTTAATGAGAGTGATTCTGAAGACATTGAGGATGCTCTGGCCAAAGAAGTCAAGCAACTTCAAGAAACTAAAACAGAAAAAAGGTTCCAGGCTGTCTTGACTGGAGCTGTAAACGTTATCTTCATCAAAACAAACCTTCCTGATTCTAAAGATCCCACAGATTTAGTCCATACAGTTTTAAATGACATGCTAGAAAAGGGATGCAAGAAAACCAGGTATGGAATGGCATGTTCTATTGGAAGTGTTTTTTTTTTATATATAGAAGTGACATTTTGAACATAACTTTTTCTTGACGTTTTTGTTGAGGTTTTTTGTAAGATTATTTTCAAAGAGCTTTCCAGAAATAATTACTTTCAAATTCAGTTGTCAAGGTCATTTTTCAGTCATATTTTAATTACTGTTATTATTGATATTATTTGTCACCACTATCCTCATTTTGATCTGTTAAGGTATTGTCAAAGGTTTCTGCCAATTTCTGGCTCCTGTCATGCTAATAAGGAAGAAATGAAGAAACTTGCTGAGCAATTGTTCCAATCATCATTCTTTGCTGAAGACGTGAAGCCATCAACGGTATGTAGGAAAAGAATAGGTTCATGAGATCAGTGAATTTCTGCATCCTTGCATTAATGATTCAACCCATAACATTAGTCTTATCCAAATGTTTACAATGGGGTTTATATATTTATTATGAGCAAAACATTATCGAGTGGTTTTCTAACTTGTTTTAGATCACACCAAAAAATTTAGAAACAACATGAAGTAAAAATTCCTGAAAATGGGAAGAAATTTTGATATTTGTATGAGATCTGATCGCAAATTACTTTGTCTTAGACTTTTTATCAGAGAAAGGACATATTTTTCAGTTTAGGGCAGACACTGATATGAACATACTCAGAACCTACAAGGCTCAGTAAATTCTGTTGGTCACTCATGGGAGTTAAAGGGTTAACAAATTGGACAACCCTGAAGCAAGAGTCTGATTTAATCACGAGTATGATTACAGACAGAATTGGATGACATGAAGTCCTGTTACCAATTAACCAAAACTATGACAAAATTTGAGAAAGAAACTAGACATCACTTACACATTTTCTTAAAAAAACAGCAGTTAACTCAGTGAAATGCCTAACAACAGCACACGCAGGTGATGCATACTGTCCACATACATAAGCATGACCTGTCAAGTGTCCTATTACACTGTCCAATCACAAGCATGACACGCACACTGTCCTATTAATTTTCAAATCGGACTGTTGATAACCAATCACATTCAAGAATTTTGTTATAGTTTTGATTAAGCCAGTTAATTTCACAGGTTACATTTAATCAATCAGACCTGTACCCTAACAGTACACCCCTGTGGCTCCTTACTGTGCATACTTTTCATTACATGGGTGTGAACAATGCAACAAAATGGTCTAGTCAGTAGCATGCAGATTGAAAGGTATGGCTTGAGTCAAGCCCTGATCAAGACAATGTGTTGTGTTCTTGAGCGTGACACTTAAAATGCAAGAAATGTTTGTTGGAGTTCAGTTTGGTCATGCCCCCAATTTTGAGCTTCACTTCTCTGTAAATATGCATCATTGATCAAGAAAGTTGTAGATGAATTCTTAGGTTTGACTGTCTTCTGCTGATCTTTGCCTCTCAATCAGTGCCTCTCAATCAGTGACATTTTCAACAGTTACAAACTTTTTAACTCTGCTTCGCACAATTTCTTGTACTGGATCAAAAAAAGTGAGAAATCTAGAGTTCAGCTTGCCTGCTGAGTCATCAATCACAGCACAGGATTTGCTTCAGATTGCTCACTGGCACTGCCAGCCATGTAATATTGTCAAGTAAATAAGTTTTTGATTATCCATCAAAATGCATTGTTAGAATCTTGGCCCTATAGAGTGTTAAAACAAGTAAATTTGATTTTATTGAATTGCAGTTCAGTGTGATGTACAAATCCAGAAACAACAGTAGCATTCACCGAGATGACACAATCTCTGCGTTAGCAAGTATAGTAATGAATGCCGGGAAGGGACACACTGTGAACCTGAACAACCCAGACTTAGCAATCTGTGTGGAGATCATGAAGGTAAAATACAAACTTACTTTGGATTTTTAACAAATTGACAGATTAACAAATTGACAATGAAAATGTTCCATGCTTAACTCTTAATGAGTGAAGAGGGTAAGTTTCTAAGGAAACTGTGGTGCTGCATCAGAAGGAGAGTATAACAGGGTAATTTAGTCATGGTTTGATGCTACTCTGGTTTAATTATTTTATTAATGAATGTAACCAAGAAGTTACAATTCATAGACGCAACATTTTGACACTCATGACAATGGTGGCTTACTTCCTGACGCCTATCAACACCTCATCAGAAAAAAGGCAGCTAATTAGTGAGTGTATAAAAGGACCTCTTGTTGCAGCGTTTAGATCACCCCTGATGAAGGCACTAGACAGGAGTGTCGAAACGTTGGGTCTATGAATTGTAACTTCTTGGTTACATTCATTAAACCTTTAAACCAGAGTAGCATCAAACCAAGTTTGATTGTCCACTTGGCTGCCATGTGAACTTTCATATAGGTTAATTTAGTGTTATCAACTGAGTTGATCATGTAAATTGGCCACCTTAAAGAGTTTAAAGGCTGACATTTCGAGCATTAGCATCAGAGCGATTGACTAAGGGCTAACTGTTGAAATGTCAACCTTCAAACTCTTTATGTTGGACAATTTATGTTATCAACTCAGTTGATAACACTAAATTACCCCATCTTAACGAATGGTTTAGCAGTATTTCTATAAGGAGAAATTAGATGCTGGTCACTCTTTAGGGTTGAACCCTTTAAACCCTGACAGTGACCAGTATCTACTTTCTCCTTACAGTAATATGGCTGAATCATTTATTAAGATCATGAGAATAAATGAAATGATCTCCACCCAAAGAAGCTTTGATTGTTCAACAAATTCTCCCTGTCAGTACCAAAGGAAATGTACAGAGAGGGGTATGGAGAATGTAGATACTGATGTTAGGGTGTAAATGGTTAAAGGATTAAGTGCCTGCATTTTGAAATGACAAGGCCATTGCATCACTTACATGACTTTACAGAGTCCTACCTTAATGGCAGGACCCTTGTTGTGAGGTTCACATCTTGGTACTGCTTTGACTATGCCAAAACTCATTACAGTTACTTGAGTAATCAATGCCTCTTTTTGCCATATTTAGTTGCTCAAAAAGATCATTGATCTTCAGCACTAAGTGGCTAGTAATTCATTTGCTCAAATTCCATCAGTGAAAACTTATGTTAATTCCCAGATCACATTTATAATTCTCCTTACTGTCAACCATACAATTCTTATAATGTTATTTCAGAGAATTTAGTATTAGATCAACTAATTATCCCCAAATTTATATTTTTCTTTATTCTTATCACTTATCTGACTGATATTGTATTGATATTGTGAGGATAAATTCTGTCTTGGTCACTCATGGTAGCTGAAGGGTTAAGGGCAAACACATAGGTTTTTTACACATGCTCCTTTCAGTGTAGTAAGGGAGCATTCTCCATTTTACTGAATTTTCTATCAGTAGGAACAGCAAAATTTTTTGTACCCATTAACTGTTACAATTGTTTTATTTTTTTATAGTATCTTAGTTTTGAAGTCACTCAGCATCCACTTTGAATTATTCGAGATTTGTTCCTGTTCTCTTTTGTCAGAGTTATCCTTTATCTCCCAGGAGTAACTAACATGTAAATTCTCTATAAAATCCACACACTATCCAGCAAGCAGGTAATGAGAATATTCAAACTTATCAGGTAGCAGGTGTTATCTTGATCCAACACCAAATTCTCGTAACTAGTTTACTCAAGAATGTGTGGCAGACAGAGGGGAGAATTAACAATCAGATCTTGAGAGTTAAAGGGTTAACTAATTTAGAATATTGTTGTTTTAATTTCCTCTGTAGAATGTCTGCTGCATGAGTGTGGTTAAAGATTTTATGAAATTGAGAAAATACAACATTCATGAGGTGAATGAGAAAATTTTCCAATCTCAAAGGACAGATAATGAGGACAGTGAAAAGGTGAAAAGCAAAAACCAAACCATTATGAAAAGTGGTGACAATGATGCTGATAGTGGTGTGCAAAGAGACGGCAATAATGCTGATAGTGATATGAATAGAGATGGAAATAATGCTGATAGCACTACTGTTGATGATGCAACCTCTGAAAATCCAGATACCTGAAATGATGTCAGTGTTACAGTGTTGACTGTAGGTAATGATGGTAAGATTGGAGAAGGTCTGCAAAAGGTTATGAATTCTGCCCACAGAATTTAGAGCATAATTTAATACCCTTTGCAGAAGGATTCTCAATATCACTATGGGATCATCTAAATTGGGCTGATATTCAAAACCAATCAAAGATACATTGCGATGACAATGTGATTTTCATTTTTCATCGCAAGGTAAAAGTTGAATTTACTTTTAAGTGGTTGGCAAAAGGTTTATAGGTGACCCATGCCCAAAATTTATTTGTAACACGTGAATTTTACAGAAAGGGGAGAGTAATTTATGAAGCAGTGTAAGCATGATTTCTTTCATTTTGTGAAAACCTCACATGTAAGAAGGGAGATTTAAACTTTTCCCCTTTATATACATGACACATGAATTTCTCTAAAATTTTGCGCATGAACAGGATTAGGAATCCCTCTTTTTTACCCTCTTTGAAGCATTCTCAGGCTTCTACTCACTGCCACAGACACACACACACAATACAGTTCTACCTTAAACATGGTTGAATCTCCGAACTCCACTTTACACATCAGAGAGTGAGTCACAATGAGCTGCTCAAGGCACAAAGGAAGTAATGCAATTTGAACTATGAGGAAACTGATACTAGTGAAGTCACATGACAAGGGTCAAATAACTTATGTTATGCAGCCTAATTTTGGGCATAATGCCTAGTCAGAGTATCGAACATGATACCGGCATAATGACTAATTAAAACTTCTTAAAAATTCCCTTGATGTCTCAGTTCGGCAAGCAATTTTTTTTTAGCATAATGTATCTGACCTTACACAACACAGTCTGAATTCTCAGTACATGCATACAGTTATCTACAGAGTCAATGAACTGTCATTGTCATTTTTTTGTTTATTTATTATCATTTCTCTTCAGAACACAACACTCCTGTAGTGAGATTTTATGGAAAATTTACTACCTGACATAAATGTCCTTTGATAACAATTTTAATGGTCACCAGACACATACACTCCACATGCATCTGAGATTTCTTAACACAGTAATAAAGCACTACCAAGTGGAACTTTCTTCAGTGGCTCATTCTTTAGTAACACTTTATTCATAATAGTAATAGGACCGAGTGGAGTCCAATTTGGTCTGTAATCATACGAGTGACTAGCAAAATTGGACAACCATGAAGCGGGAGTCTGATTTGTTTATCATGGGTATGATTACTGACAGAATGACAAGAAATCCTGTCATGAATTAATCTTAACCATTTCAATTTCCGAAAAAAAAAATACACCTAGGACAAATATCTCTAGTGGAGACAATGTCTTTAGTTAAATATTCCTCTATTTTGCCTTGTTTTTTCTTTGGATAAGTGGTGGTTGCTATGGTTATTGTGATCAATTCTGTGATTGGTAGATTTAGCTGAGTGGACATAGTTTGATTGGCTGCTTTAACTGTTCGATTATGGGTGTCCAATTACAGCCAACTCTCCTATTTCCCTGTCTGATTACAATTGTACAGAATTAGTGAAAAATGAAGCAGCTGATGCACCAATCACATTTGAGGAAATTGCAATGGTTATGATTAATTCAGAAATCATGCAGCTTAATTGCTCCATATAGTAGGAAGAGGTGATCATGTTGTGTAATTATCCAACTGAGAGTACAGTAGTACTGAAATTGACTGTTTCTTGTGACAGTGTCCATGTGGAAGCCATCATCTGAGTCAAACCTTCCACTCAATTTTTTGGAACATCAGTCACTGATGATAGTCTGTTCAAAACTACCCTCCCCTGGGCAATCACACCACATGATTATCAATTCAAGGGAAACATAACCCTTTAAACCCTAAAAAAACTGAAAACTAAACATGTACATTGTATTGTGCTCTTTTTGAGAGAAGATTGTTCATCACATTAATCTCATCTAAAAAGTACATGTACAGAAATTTCAACAAGAATCTTGCATTTCCTACCAAGTGGTCAAGTCATCACACAACACACGACAAATTTTGGAAATTAACTTGAACACTAGGGAAGCACTTAACCATAGCTAGAATCCTCCCAGTAACATTTTTTTTTTCACCTCTATTGGTGATGAAGTCACTCTCAGTATAAGCCAACTATGGCATTCTCTGGATTCAAAAATTCTTTGAACAAATTCTTGTGGAACCAATCAAAAACCATAAAATTAAAAAAATCATAGGTCATACAAGGTAAATTAGTCTTCTTGACAAACTTTGTAATATATATTACCATCACACCAAAATAGAGGTTACAAGAACCTTTTGATACAAAAGATGAAGTTTTGTGAAAACTGAGAAAACTCCTACATGATTGGTCACACAGATGATATGGAAATTGAATACTGCATAATGAGTACCTTGAAAACTGTATAGCTTATAAAAAAAAAAGTGTTGATGGTGTTTTAAGTCATAAATACTATGGTTAGATGTGCAATGACAGCTAATGCCATATCTTGTGGGATTTTCTTCCAACACCCAATTAATAATCACTTTCTCTTTAAATTTAAGACAGTATTCAATACTTACTCTACAAGGTTTTATGTAGATGATCTTCAAAAAGACTAAAACTGATTAACCCTTTAACTCCTAGATAAAATTTGTCATTCTCCAATCTGTCAACTATACAATTCTCATAATGTTAGTTCTGAGAATCCTGTATGGGATCAACTATTTATTTCCAAAATGATATTTTTCTTTATTCTCATCACTTATCTGGATGATATTGTGTTGGTATTGTAAACAGAAATTCTGTCTTGGTCACTCATGGGAGTTAAGGGTTAACTCATAGTAGTGACCAGCATTTCATCTCTCCCAACAATATCACCCTTTAAATCACTCCTTAAGGCCACTAGAACAAAGGAAATGATCACTAACTTAAGAAGCCTTTGATTGTTAAACAAATTCTCCTCGTCAGCACCTTAGGAAATGTATAGAGAACAGTATGGCAAATATGCAAACTGATGGTAGAGTGTAAAGGATTTATCAATTTACTTCAACAATCACCTACAGCTAACACTACACTAAAACTTATTCTAACTATATATACACAGCTAAGAAAGAGACTGATGGAAAAACAGCAGAATAATAGGTAGAGACTAACCACTTGTCATCACATTAATTAACATGAATGACACTTCTTGATAGCTGTTTTGGTATCCTCAAATAAATAATCACAATGACTTCTTAATCTGAAACATTTTTCTCATTTTCTCTAGTTTTAAAGTTGTAGATAAAGCACTCTCCTAGTATAAATTAACTTGATGTTGCACTCCTTCACTTGTCCTTTTAAACAGTATTTTAGTTCTTAGACTAGTAAGTTGTGAAATAAGGCCTGTTGAACCCCTGTTCATAAAATATCAAGAAGGCCTTTTCAAAAATAGTCACCTTATTGTTACCAATTTTCACAATCAATTTCACAAAAAACCACAAAGATTTTGGGTTGGCTGTAAATTGCACTAAAGGAAGTCAAACTAACAGCATAATAATTCTTTTCATCAAAACGCATTGTTCTAATAACTGTGCAAAAAAAATTAATGCATGGTTAATTTTTCGCTTTAGTTTAGTTCTGGCATCCTTTTTGTTTAAATTGTGAAAATCTAGAAATATTTATAAATAAGTCACGTGAGAATTAGTAACAATTATACTAAATTTTTTCTCCCAAAAACACTAGAAAATGACCTAATGATTTTCTGTCCTCAGTGTAATTATAATAGAAATTGTACAGGCACCTCACTTCAAAAAACAAGCAAAGTTGGCACACTCGATATTGATACATTGCTTATTAGGCTACTTTATTTAATACTTGTAAATATATTACACACTTTCAACAATAATAGCTAATTCTTTTGAGCTAGAAAAAATCTCTTACCAGTTAATTTAGATTTTCTGTCTGTAATATTTCAATTTTGTTGGAATATCTTGCAGTGTGTGACAAACAAGACCATTTCAAAACACACGAGGTTACATGTAATTTGGTTGCAATTTCTTTCCATGATAACCTTCTCAAACCTCACTTGAAAAACTTGTCAGAGAGCAGGCATGCTTTCCCTTTGTTTGGTCATATTTTGATAACTACCTTGTGTGTTTTCCTTGTTGCCATCATGGAATTCTCTGAAGTACTCATGTTGGAGAGCATCTAAAGCTCCGATTCTCTTTTGTGGATTGAAGATTAGTATTCTCTGAAAAAAAAAAATTATTTTTATATATATAAGTATTAAGAGTAGTCTTCAGCTCAGTGTCAAAAGTAATTCATGATTGCATTGGTTCTGCTTTCTGCTAATTACTTTTCTTTGTGATTGGTCACGAACTTATACACACTCTCAACCAATCAGATGCAAAACTAAAACCAGTCATGATGTGATTACAAGTTATCTTGTAGTTTCGATGATGTGCTTGATTTTACTTTGAGCTGTAATTGCATACAGACTTCTTGTGACATTTTCCTTTGTACAGAACCGTTTTTGTATGTTGGGATCCAATAACATTGCATGGCTAGAATGCCAACAGTGGATCTTCATGTTTCAACCAACAAAATACTACATCTCTACAGTTAATATCAAGGTGCAGGTCATAGACGTTTACTGTTACTTCTTATTCCCAGTTTCCTCAGCAAGAGGAGACAGAGTAGATCTACTCCTCCTGGATGGAATACTTCTGTAGTCCATTGCAACTAAACCACAGAATTTTGTCAAATTCTTCATGTACAGTACATGAACCAGTAAGAGTTTATTTAGTGATTGGTATACCCATGTATGTCACCTTGAGTAAGTTGGTTCCACTCTCGCACATCTCTGGTATTAACTCAGCAAGTGAAAATGAAACATATCTTGGGAATGATGACCTCTGAAGAGAAACACTTGATGGCCAGTCATTCTGCAATGGAGTACCTAGAACACTACACGTTCATCAAAGATCATGAAAGAAATTCAGTGATAGAATGGAGTTTGAATGACACAGCTTCCATGCTGAATCAGAAACCACTACTGCAGTTTGCCGAAGCATACCACTTTTAAGGGGCAATATTGTCATATTTTAAATTAGCTCAATCTGATGGTAACTCTGAGGAAACTACTGTACATTTTATTTGATATAGGCGTAATAGCAAAAGGAAAAACATCCAAGTTGGTACTGCAGACAAAAATGGAAGAAAAAAGGCTGCAGAAAGAGATGACAAAACAGAGTACAAATTTATAGTAAATTCCTCATCATGTAACAACCTGGACACAGTGCACTGTATTGGTCATAAACATGTAATTTTAACATGTCTCAGGTGATAAAGTGATATTTGATTTGAAATAAGAATCAAACTGTTTTTTTTAAGCCTTCTGTCCAGTAGTTCATTGAAGTATACTGCAAACCTTCTCTCAAAAAACATCTGTTTTCTCGAGCACGACAGTGATACCTTTGCACAAAAAAATTCACCATGGGTTACAGCGTAATATTTTTCTATACTAATGGTTTACCTAAATATTTTGTGAAGCTGATCTACATCAGATTTTCCTTCAAACAGTGGTTTTCTGTTATAAAGTTCAGCCATAATGCATCCAACACTCCAAATATCCACAGCTGTGGCATAACTGGAATGAAGGAGAACCTCTGGAGCCCGATACCACAGTGTTACCACCTGAAACAGAAACAAAAAATTTAAGAAAAAATTGAAATTTGTCGCAGAAATAATTATAATCAGCTCAACCCAGCTTTAGTTATACTGCTGCTTTTAAGTTGCCAAGTAATTGATGATGACCTGAAGAAACATTCAGTTTACCCTTCAACTCCCACAAGTGATTAACATGTAAGTTCTCCCCATAATATCCATACATTATCCAGGAAACAAGTTATGAGAATATTCAAACTTCCCAGGTAGAGGTTGTCATCTTGATCGAATCCAAAATCCTCATAACTAAGTCACAAGGAAATGTATTGCAGCTAGAAGGGAGCATTAACAATCAGATCTAGAAAGGGTTAGGCAGTTTGATGGCATAAGGAGAGCAACTGTAGTTCTGTAATCAACTGTTGTTGGTAAATACATCTAACAGTGACTGACATTCCAGTGACCTGAGCAGAAATTATCCATCAAGTGAAGTGGGGTGATTGTCAGTTGAATGACAGTCAATTAGTTTCCAAAAACAGAAAAATTGTTGAAAATGTAAATAGAAATTTTTTGCAGAAATTTTGCTCAGCTCAGTTATAATACTACAAAAAAGTTTTACAGTAAATCATCTTAATGTAACTTGAAGAACATTCTGTTTTGCACTCTGATCACACAAGGTGGGGTAGTTCTGTAACCAGCTGTTGTCGCTAACAGTGACTGATACTTCAGAGAACAGAGCAGAAGTCATTAACAGAGTTAAGTGAGGTGTTTTTCCATTGATTGACTGTTCATTAGTTATGACAAACCTCACCCATGATATTTGAAAAATAACTCATCCTCAACTCTGATGATAACTTCTGCTCAGGCTTTCAAAAGACTAGCCATTGTCAATTATAACAGTCCCTTTTGGGACTACCCACAACTGAATGATCATATAATGAGAATATATATAAATCAACCTAAAAGGCACCCTTCTATAGTTTTCTTTGGTTTTTAACAATTGACTCTATCTTAACAGAGACCTACATGACAGTCACCTGTTTAGGGTGAACACTTTGCAGTGCTCATAACTTTTTTGCAGTACAGAAAGTTTGGATCACTGACAAATGCAAACTTTGTTTTTAAAAATGTTGACAGCACACTGTTCAAATTAATGTGGATCTGTGCATGCTACGTGTACTCTAGTATTATTGGTAAGGAAGTACAGTTAGCAAGTACATTAAATCATGATTATCAACATGGGTTTTAAAATTAGCTGTTATATATTCAGCAGTCAGTATTCTATTGCTAATCATATGACATGAAACCAGGATACCTTTATGGTTGCAGTTGTATCATTACAACTTACCACTGATGTCAAAGCCATAGCATCTCTGTATATCCTAGCTAATCCAAAGTCTGCAATCTTTACTTGACCAGCACCTGAGATCAAGATATTCTGGGGCTTCAAATCTCTATGGACAATCCGGTGAGAGTGCAAGAAATCCACCCCATTCAACAGCTGATGTGTTAAGTCCTGTCATGAAATTTGTGAGAAGGGTTTGTGTCAATTAACAACTTTAATTGTTACAAATAATTTATCATTTCATTGGAACTCCATCAATCCTAAATACAATGTACAGTGTATAGACTTGCAAAGTTTTTCATTGAAAGGTGTGAGTTTTAGCACAAGGTACAGTTAAATCCATAACAAAGTGTATTTCTGAAGATGCTCTAAAAGTTTTTTCAAAGGAATCCTCCAAAGTTTGGCCTTGCGCTTTCCTCTGTTTTCTTGTGTTTGGAGCTTTGAAAGTTTTTTCAAAGGAATTCTCTAAAGTTTGGCCTTGTGCTTTCATTTGTTTCCTTGTGTTTGGATGCTTTGAAAGTTTTTTCAAAGGAATCCTCTAAAGTTTGGCCTTGTGCTTTCATTTGTTTTCTTGTGTTTGGAAACCCTGATGAAACACAGTGCAAGAGTTTTTGGAATAGTACTTCTAATATAACTCCTACAAAACTGTCCCCTCAAACATCAAGATTTGTTGGGAAAAACAATTATTTAAATATGGAGACTTGAAGTTTATTTCACATTTTCAATATTTAGCTGGACAATGTGTAAGTTTAGGCTGTAAAAGTCAATTCTTACTCAAGATCAGAGGAGTTGGATCAACAGGTGTGATGTGGCATGAGACTAAATTTTTTTACTCACAGGCAGAGACAGCTAATACAATGATGTGTTCACAACTGGGCCATAAAAAAGCATACTGAGTTATAAAAATGGGTGGCCGTTTCCTTGGGTATAGTCATGTTGACATATGATACAGGCTTTGAAACATCCACATTTGTAACCTGAGAATTATGATTTAAGTCACATAAATAAATGAGGTGCTTTTGGCAATTAAACAGGCAGAACTGGAGTTCAAACTGAGCAACCAATATCACTGAATTTTTCCAAGTGGTGTGTAGTAAATTATTGTACTCATCAAAAACAAATATTCTGAGTGAGGGCTGTGGCCTGACAATTGCAACCTATTGAGAGCTAATGTTTCATTACTGCCCATCATAACTTTAAATTTCAATTTATAAACTATGCACAAACTTTGTATTTCTTATAAGCCACAGTATGATGATCACCTAGTGCATTAGACTCAAGTTACAACTTTGGTCTTTGAAATCTATATATAGCTCTGTACATCCATGCATAAAGCATTTTAGGTTAAGTGTCAAAAGAACTGTGTTCATTTTGTTCAATCATTTATTTTGTTTTACATGTATCTTGAATTTACAAAGCTTCTCCACATGGCATTCCCTTGTTATAAGCATTGCTTCATGCAGATGTTTGAATGACAAGGTTTAAGCAATGTTTTACCTCCTTTCCCTAACATTTTAATTTACTCAAAGGAAAACATATTTTGCCACATTCAGCCCAAAATTAGCATTAGAAAACATCTCTTAGTAAAAAGTTTTAGCTGCTGTCAGCCTTTAATCTGGATGGTCTTCACATTTAATTTCTTCTGAGAGAATGTTTTCCACTTATATTATGTGGGATGAACAGTGTTAATGCTTAATTGGACAAAAGAATTATTGCCAAATCCAAGATGAATGAAGAAGCGACATGTTCTCTTTAATGAATGCTGCACACTTTGAACTCAACTAATATAATAGACTTTGGTTAAATCAACTGGCTATTGTTTGAAGTCTGATAATTAACAGGGTGTGTGAAAATAAAGGCTGTTTTGCATATACATTAGAAAAGGAGTTTCAATAACAGATACCAAAGAATTTGACCTTTCAAGTGATCTACATGACTTGTGCCTTGAAAAATGAGAATTAAAATTTTGTTAATGACATTAGGAGTATTTTTATATGCATGATCTCTTTAGCGGTGTACCCACCAAGATTCACAGAAATGAATCACTTATTTAAAGTTTGGAAGCAAAACATGGATTGTCATGAATACTGTTGATTACTAAATCATATGTTATGGCAGTATTGCATGTCTTTGATCAGAATAATGATTACCTAATAATGTTACACAGATTGTGGTCCAAACTACTTATGAAACATAATTGTTGAGATTTGGAATGGATGAATGAGTTGTTAGAATACTTGAAAATGAACCAAATTAAGTGGTTTTAAATGTGTCATCCTCTATTTAAACTGTAAATGGCTCTTTACCGGACATTTTTTGAAGTGTTTTTTTTCCCTTTATCCCATTGGAAAGTTATGCTTTTGTGGGCGCGATTTACATGTCATTAAAATGCCTTCCAGAGGAGGGGGGGAGACAGATCTAGTCACTGGAGAGAAATAATTTTGCATTTAGCAAAGTTTTTCAGCTTTTGTGGGCCCAGGGTTTGGTCTTAAAATTATTCAGAGGGTTAGTGCCCCCCCCTAGGACACCTCTTGTGGGCAAGGGTGTTACTTCAAGTCCTTATGTCATTTGGAGGGGATGCAACATAATGCCTCATTTGGAATCAATTCAATCTTCAAACCTAAACCATTACCCCTTTGTACTCCTCCTTGGGGAAGCAAAAGTTTTGGATTGTACTGAATACTTTCCACGTCAACAATACCTTAATTTTCCATTCTGGCAATCCTGGTTGTGGGCAGTTGTCAAGATAAGCACTTAGATCCTGCTCAATGTGCTCAAAGACAAGAGAAAGGTATTTCTCATGACCTGTTGGTGAAGTTGTATGAAAAACATCCAGAAGCCTATAAAAGAAGTGGAAGAACCCAATAAATCACCATATTTAACCTAAAAAGGATTAGCACAAGATCAAGCTCTTTGCCTCTGATCTCATCCATGCCATTATTAGATAGTCTATAATGGTATTGCTGGAGTCAGAGGCAAAGGGCATGGCCTTGTTCGATCTTGCCAACTCCAATGTTAATAAATACATGCTACAAGTACACTACAGAAGGCGAGTGAATTTCAAATCTGTAAAATAGGTCACTTGAAGACTTTTCTAGCATTTAATTTATATTCCGTGTACTGTTCTCTAACCAAGAGTGACTTGGATGTTTCCACTCCCCATGAATGGGATTGCAGGTTACCCCTGGCATTTCATCAAGGTTCCCCAACATATTATGCTCCTATCCACTCTAAACGTTATGAAGCAAGGAACTTTGAACGTCAAGTGCCGTGCCCAGGGCACAACATTATACCACAGTCAGGGCTTGAGCTTGGACCTATTGATATGGTATGGGTTGTCTAGTGGGGTAACCTGGTCTTTGCACTTATGCCAAAGGTCCTTATCCTCATTTAAAAATGATTGGAAAAAAAGAGACAGGTTTCACTCAGAATGGGAAGCAAAAAAAAGTCTTTCCACCCCTTTTCCCCCCCCCCCTCTTGTAAAAAGGATGGTGGGTTTATGGAATGTTGATTATGTAAAAGCCATGATACACATCTCATTTAAGTCCGGAAAATCACGATTGCAATTTTAATGGTTGAAATTGAAACAGCCTAATGACTCTACATAACTTGATCTTTTTATAGAACACGATATGTGCACCACTGTATATCTTGAAATGTGAGAAAACCCAAATCATCTAAATCTTTAATGACAGAACAATGAAGTATTTCAAGGTCGTGCTCCTGGGTTTTAGAAGATCGAAGACGCACACGTAGGTGTGAAATCACGTACACCGCAAAGGGTAATTATCCACAGAAGATCCATTGTTAGCAAAAATATGTCCTCAAATATAACGAAATTTAAATGAGGGAGTCACTAACTAAATGATGGCCACTACCCACCTTCATCACGGTAGAATCAAGGAGAGGATACACTGTTAGCAAACCTCCGACAAGATACTTAAAGAAAAGGTTAAGATGGAAACATGCAACGCTTTTTGAGTCATGATACTTAGTCGTTGAAGAGTTCATTCGACGGAGAGTACAATCAAACCGTATTTTTACCAAAGGCGTTCATTTTGTTGGTGAAACTCGATCTTGAAACATTCTAAACTTCTAAGGCCAGAGGAACCTTTTATCAGGTCATCATTAATTGCCCCAGTTTCGTTTAATACTCCATAGAGGATTTGGAAGGAAGAATTTAAAATACACAAAATAACCGTTTCCGTTGAATTATTTTGTAAACAAAATGTGATTTTAATTATCTTACGATTCCGGGAAGAGCGATTGCTAAAATTGAATTAAGATGTTTTAAGATTAAAATTATGGAATCGAAAGTGATCGCAGTTGGCATGTATATCATCAAATGATTCCCCGAGGAGATAAAGGATAAAGTCTTGTTTCGTCTAAACAAATTAGTGATCAAATTTCTTACCCGTCGATCCAAGGAAAAAACTTGGGGAAAGAATGCACACTGAGTGTCTAGAGTTATCTGTTATGCCGTTTATCAGTCACTGAATTCCAGTCGAATAAGCAAGACGTACTTGACAGTTTTCGATTTCTTTTGAGTCGAAGCCTTGTTGTAATCCCACAGGAATGTGAAATCCTTGATCAAATCTTCTTCTTACTGTGTTTGCTCGTATTCACATCGAGATAAAACACCGCGTTGAAAGGTCGAGATGAACATCACTCAATCGTTTTCCAGAAACATGAGACATCAATACAATGTAAACAGCGCTTCCAGAAACAACTTGTTGCGAGTATCAGCGAGCAGAAATGTCAGGCCATCAGCGATCTTTTGAAAAATTGGTCTATTTTGTCTTCAAAAGAGCGTAAAACAAAGTTCTGCGGCGATAAAATCGAGGCGATCGGCAGGTACAGTGGGAAAGTGAGTTTTAAATTCACCCTCCACCTCGCGGTAAGTTGTTCAGCCAATCAGACTATCGTTCGTTTGAAACAATTCACTTCCGGTGAAATCATAACAGACTTAAACTTCCGTTTTGATGCTCTCAGCTCGCCGGGCAACGTAGTGGTCTCTTCGGAATCTAATCGACATTTTCGTGAATCAAGAACTTACAAGACGATGATCATATAGAGAGAGGTATCAGAATATTTTCAAATGAATCGTGATTTATATCATTAAGCACTGTAATTGCTTCTCGTTGAATTGCTAAAGCTCTCAATTATGCGATGTATAAACACATTTCTGAGCCGAAATTAATTTCTGACATGCTGCCTCAAAGACAATTACAACTTGCCAATGTGTTCTACATCATACATAACATCTTGTCTTTGTATTCTACTGAACATTTTGAGCTTGAAGTTACGCAAATAAAATTGTGAAACTATAGGTTTTCAAGCTCCTCGGAATGCAACGATTAAACAAAAGATGAATTTTAATCATGTAGTTTTTCTGATGGCCAAATTTAAAGACCATAAATCCCTTTTGTAATTTTTTCTTTGAGTTACGTTAGATTGTTTAGACTTAATTGGGATTGCACCGATGATTGAAGCGCAGAGAAATGAAAAATTAAATAAAATAGAAAAATTCTTGACCATGGGAAGGGCTTGAGGTTTCGCAAGACTCTTAGGGGGTTTGCACAGGGAAACAAGGCACACCAAGAATTCTGAATCTCCAAAATATCCCTTAAAATTTATCACTTGCAGCTCAAACAAGCAAGAGAAATCGTTTATCCTACCTTACAACGTTTTCATGCGCGAAATTGTCGATCTGCTTGAGAAGGGCTATTTCGCGGATGGTAGAGAGTGGCATTCCTTCATCGCCGTTGTTTACAATTCTCACTCTTTTTAAAGCCACAAAACGGCCTTCGTTTTGAAGATCGCGGGCTTTATAAACAGTACCATATGCCCCATTACCGATCTCGGCCACCTCTTCGTATTTCTGGGCCATTGCTCAGAATTTCGAAGCAATCTGCGGGGCGAGGATCAAGCTCTCATTCTTTGATGTGCTTTGTTCACTTTAGCGTGACATGGCGAAGCCTCTGGGGTTGACACAAGATTCTCTCCTGTCTTATCGCGTTGACCAACTGCAAGGATTGCCACCAAATCCTAAGAATCTGGTCTTCAATCTTCCATGGAGGTCCACCTTCTGTTTCAGAGACCTGAGCTAAAGACAGAATCGGATCGTCCGCTAAAAGAGTTTAGAGATTTGATAGTGCTTCATAAATGCAAAGTAAATATTCAACTTTCAATTCCGCTCCAGTCTCGGAGGAATTGGGGGCCGCATACGGTTTCAATTCAACAGGTATTTGGATCAAACAATGCCTAAGAGGTAGAATAATCACACTTTTGCCTAAATCCGCCGGCCAAATCGCGATCATCACGCTAGGCCCACCTAAAACTTACTTTGATCAAGTACACAGCCCCGAGCTCGAATGAATGAAAAAGTCTGATTAGGCCTTCTCAATAAAGCTGAGGTTGCAAGGTCCGCTGCCCCGACCACGTGCGCGCGATTACGTCTATTTATTTCCTGTTAATTTTGATTGGTTGCCGAGGGATTCCGCTCTGTGTATCGGAATGCAGGCCAACTCATTGGCTTACATTTGTCACGCCCTTGACGAACCCGGCCAATAGAGGTAATTAGAGCTCCCACAAAATATAATTTTCTACTTGGAAAAAGAAAAGAAACACGACGACCACCTACTGGATAGAAACGGAAAACGAATGCTGGCAAATAAAATGTTGTCTCTTAGCACATGGCTCGACATCTGTGAGCCAGCTCAGATTTCACTTTCCATACCACACAAACTGCCATAATCAATATGCAACATGCAAAGAACAAATCTGCGTCAACAATAAGACACGATCTCGAAACCTCTCGAGTTCAACTGTACGTGAAACATAGGCTTTATTCGCGAAAGCCATCAACATCGTTATCCCAAGAGGTGGAGATCTTGAGCACATTTCTTAGATCGTATCATAATTGACTTTGTCCGTTGTCGAGGCAACAGATCGATCGATTACAATATCGGAAATTGAGTGACACATGTCTTGTGCACGCAGTCGCCGCAAAACCTGGTCTTAATGCAACGTTAAGAAAAGCAATAACCAAACTGTTTACTACTAAAAATTGACAAAGGAGCGGCAAGGTGGCACGGCCCAATAATTTCTCACGAACAACCTGCCTGGCCGTCACGGTGAAAGATTTTCACATTGAGTAACAAGGAGTTGATTGATTTCCTAAATATATTTAGAAAACTTGTTTGGAATTCCCTCGTGGACGTCGGAACACAGAGACTCCCTGATAATATAGATTTTTGTATTACTACTGCAAATCTGATTGTTCACGCGACAACTTCCGATACCGAAATATGATTTCGTGTTTTCTAGATAGTTGCCTAACTGAGTTTACTTCATTAAGTGCGAATGCATAAATCTCGTTATTGTTTTGCGCATTTCTGTCTGACTTCCCACAGTAAGAATGCGTCACTGGTCCCACGAGGTTACCTCAGTTTAGAAAGAGTTCTGCATATTTTCTCTTTGCAAAAATTTGTTCTTGTGGAGATGAATTTTTTTTTGGTGTCTCTTCTTATTTACTGAGCAATCGAAAATAATCAAATGTTTCTTCTGAAGATGGTGTATATAGTAGAGAGGAAAAATAATTTCGCCTTACTGTTGATGCACATACAAATTCTCAATACTATAGCAATAGGGACTTACAGCAACGAGTAAGGAGAATGCATATGTTGCACCGGTCGTAAAAAGGAAAAAATATCCAACCCATAAAACTCGATTGGATTTTTTACTGATGATCAAGTTCATTAGTTTCTAAAGCCATTATAAATACGATCTATCAAAATTCACCTCTAAAAGGACGAGAAAGTAAGGTTTTGTTATCTACCAGAAAGAACAGTTAGATGAGACTGAACAAAAAATGATTGAGGTCTCACAAACTTGCACTTCTAAAGGAATTTATCCCAAAGGCATACGCTAATTTTATTTACTAATCATTAAACTCGTACATGGCTCATGCACAATGCTAAGATTCCTTGGTCAATTTCTGTTGCAGTCAAAAGTTACACCAGCGGAACGTGCGTTGTGCGCATTTGTAAATAGTAACTCGGCCATTCTTCTGCGGTTGCGGTCATGAGTCGGTCATGAGAAGTGTGTGGGCGGCACCTGTTTCTAGGAGTGGTATTTTGAGGCTATTGATAACGTGCCCTGTACATGTCGCTAATTAACGTGAAGTTAGTCATTCAAGTTAGATTCATGATGGAAATGAGGAGACTGGGGGTTAGCTCTCTTTTGGTAGCAAAAAGTACACGAGGGAGGCAAGACATGGCAGGAAAGCTAGAATTTGTATTGTGGGTATTGCGGTTTTCGCTTTTTGCGCTATTACGGCCCTCTTTTTTTCCTACATTCTGGTTCTACATTGACAGTTTTTTCATTTTATTTTTTTTTTACCATTCGTTATCATTTTATCACCATAGGATAATTTTGTGGTTCTTAATCTGTTTTCTAGTTGTAGATAGTAGTTTCACAAAGAGAAGAGGTATCATTACCTTTGTTTCTTTCCTCTTTTCCAAAAGTTTTTTTTTTCATCGCGCAGTTTTCTGTTTGTTTATGTTTCTTTTTATTTGCTAATTTGTTTGTTGTTTGATTGTTGTTTATTTATTTGTTTATGGTTTACGTATGCCAATGAAATGGGTACCTTTAACATATTAATAATAACCTTGGTAAATAAACTTGTAGTCCAATGAAATTTCCTCTTTCTAATTTGATGAAATACCAACAGAGATTTTCTTAGACTTAACTCTTCATTTCTATCGTTTCTGATACTTAAATCTGAAGTTTGCCCTCTTATCGTTGAAAAATAGATAAATCTATTTATCTAGATAATCCACAAAAAGACGTTCTGTTTTCGAGAGCACGAAATTCGCACTGTTTGGCGCTCCCACTGAACAGACAAACACGCTATCAACAAATTAACCCTTTCATTCCTTGGATCTTACTAGTAATTCTCCTTACTGCCTGACATACATTTCTTCTGATGTTAGTTTGGAGAATTTGGTATTAGATCGACGAATAACTCCCAATTAATAGTTTCTTTTATTCTCATCAGTTGTCTGCCTGATACAGTAACGTCACTGTAAGGAGAAATTCGGTCTTGGTCACTTATGGTTGAAAGGAAAGAGCGAGCCATCGAACGATGTGGTGCAGGGGATCCACACCCAGTGAAATATATACAACTCGTTTAAAGATGAAAAAAAAAAAAAAGAAAAAAAAAGGTTATTAAAAAAGGCCTGACCTCACAGCTTTTGATAACTTAGCTAATGAAGACAGAACTGATCCAAGACTTTCGATACTTTCGCCGAAAAGTAAACACCCACATTCGGTTTCGAAAGTTCACCATTAGGGTCAGTCTCGCAGATCATATCGTCGTAAATAACTGATTAAATTTCAAGCATGAGCTGTTTTTCCTTTTTAAAGAAGGTTTTGGTTCTAGATCTGTTTGTTTTCAGTAAAAATGGTGTCCTATAAGAGATACCACTTCATTGCATGTCGCCTTTCTGCACATCAATTATACCATTAGTGTGACATACGCTCACCGCAAATATCAAATTCTCAGGGCTGGCCGACCAAAAAATCATGGTCATCAATTGAGAGAATTTGCTTACAGAGTGATATAAGATGGCAAGACCGTGCTTGCAGAAAGGGCTTGAAACGTCTCATGTCATTTGTAATGGGACTTCATCGTCATGATATAATCAAACTTGAGTCAAAATCATGTTAACCAAGTTCCTTTAGTTTGCGCAAGCACACAAAACACTTCAGTCTGTACAATATTTTCACTAAGTAAACTTTTACGAGCTCATTGTTAGCCGTACAAAATTAATCAAGACACAGTTTAGCTCTGATCGCTGAGGAAGTATGTTGCCTCTGGAATGTTCAGCTATCAAGTTCACAGAAAAGAGGAAGCCTGCGGTCTTTTTTTTGCTATGGTATATTCGGGACGAAAGGGCACACCTTGAAATTCAATGCCTAGCTACTTAATTTCTCCAACGTTTATTGCATTACTTGTGAGCCTATTTCTCCATTTAACTATCTTCCTAAATTGCTCCCACGTATCGGAAACCAACGTTACACAAACCTAACGAAAACACTTCAGCCTGAAGTATAAAGATGCCGAAACACGTTTCAGGAAGTCGAGTTTGAGTTCTTGTCGCGTTTCGATTGGCCTTGATCAATAAACATTTCTGTTTGAGTTTGAGGAGAGTGTATATTCTTGGCCTCGCTTGACAACAGCATATTGATTCAATATATTACTTTAAGTGTCTTGGAAAATAAAGATTGCAATCGTGTTTCCGGTTCACTTGGGTTCTCACGCAAGAATCGGTGGGGCTTCTGCTCTGTTTTAGAGACGAGATGACACGATTCTTGTAAACATATTACAATTGTATCATAATAAAGTACCACTAAGGCTCCATATGCGTCTGTTTTTATGGTCATAGGAGCCTAAACAGGAATAATTGGTTAAGCCAGCTAATTCATTACTTTTTTGGAATTTCGACCCGGTCATAATATCCAAAAATATTTCAAAGAACTCCTCCTGTTTTAAACACAACCAAGACGTAAAGTTACCCTAAATAAATAACAAACACGCGATAAGCAAGATCTTTCAGAAAAATGTGGTTATTAAACATCAAAATTGTCGTGATACGGTTGGAAGAGAAAAGCACCCCGTGTGCCCGCTTTAAATTTCACGCACGTCGATCCCAGCTGGCATGAAGAGAAGTTATCTAGGAAAGGAAAGTATTGTCAATATCTTTCAACATGGTCAACAAAAGAGATGAATTGACTCCTTGTAACACTTTTTTTGTGTCTCGAAAAAAGACAAGGTTACATAACCTATGTCTGTATGAAAAATTACCAACCATACTATTTTAGAAGTAAAATCCCTTGACTCTCTCGAAAATGAGATACATCCTTGAAATGTCATCCATGGACGAGGAACTAGGAACGATCACCCTTTTTTTTAGAATAAATCAATAAAATTGGTAGACTTGCTGATAAAGATAACAGGTTTAGGAATTGTGCTAGAGAGACGCATTTGCCGTTGTAAATATGGCAAAAAATCTTTGACGCACTGACAATGCATTTACAGTA